GACCAGCCTGGGCAACATAGTGAAACCCTGTTTCTGCAAAAAAATCTTTTTTAAAAACCAAATTAAGGTCCCCCCATTCATGTGGTCCGTCCAGTTCAAACTGGCAGTTAAGAGTGTGGATTCTGGAGTCAGATGTGTAATTTGAATCCCGGTGTTGCCACTTTCTAAGTGTGTAATTTTGGGCAAATTACCTAACCTCTCTGTGCTTCAGTTTTCTCCTCTATAAAATGCTAAAATCACAATACCTCTCTCATGTTGGGAAGGTTAAATGAGAACATACTTGTCAGGTGCTTAGAACCCTTGGTAGGTGTTCCATAAAACTTGGCTGGCTCTGCTTTTGTGGAAAATTTCATCCTGCCTTGCAGAAGAGTAGTCTTTCTACCCATTTCTTGCCTCCCACAGGTACACCAGCCAACATCCACACTGGACTGTGGGTTCCTTGTTTACAGGAACAACTTCTTACACACCCCTCTGCCCCTTTCGGGGACCTAACATAGCTTTTTACACCTAGAACGTGCTCAATAATATTTATTGAAGGTCTACAATAGAGGCCAGGCACATGCTAGGAACTAGGGAAGAAGAGAAGGATCTACCAGGAATAGAAAGAGATCAAATCTCCTTTTCATTAAGAGGATCAGCTATCGTTATTATAATAGTTGTAAGTCATTTTACAGTTATGTGGTGTCATTTGTTATTTAGCTAAGGCTAGCTTTTGACAGGCAGCACACACTCCCGACCTTCCTCAGCCAGATGTAGGATTTATTTGGGAGAAGGCTGGATGCCATCCAGTCTACACTAGCGACATGGGCTCTCCTCAGCAGGGATTAAAAAGAAGTGCACGCCTCACTCAATGAAACTTCAACACTGGCAGAGAAGCTGGCCCAGCTAGGCTGCAACAAGTTTCTCCGTGAGTTTATACAAGAACTGCCCAGCTATTGAAGCTGCTGTTTGAGTGTAGGACCAATTCCCAGCCTCTGTTGAAGCTGCCAAACAAAACACAGAAGAGCAAATGGCTTTGCGACCTTGCTGCCTCCTTGGTAATAAGTAAACTCATCCTCTTGATAAAATCAGCTGAAAAGGCTCAGCAATGAGTCTAATTCTAAAGAGAAAAATAGATTTTTCTATTATTTTATTTTGAGACAGGGTCTCACTCTGTTGCCCAGGTTGGAGTGCAGTGATAAGATCATAGCTCACTGCAGCCTTGACCTCCTGAGTTCAAGCAATTCTCCTGCCTCAGCCTTCTGAGTAGCTAGGACTACAGTTGCATGCTTCCACACCTGACCAATTAAGAATTTTTTTTTTTTTACAGATGGGGTCTTGCTATGCTGCCCAGGCTGGTCTCAAGCTCCTGACCTCAAGGGATCCTCCTGCCTCAATCTTCCAAAGCACCAGGATTATAGGCATAAGCCACTGTGCCTGGCCAGTTCTTACACTTTTTATGGGAAAGATCTATTAAAAAATATCTAAGATATGCTTTGAGATCAGCACAATCAGGTAGCCTGGGATGAGCGTTCTTTGAAGTCAGGGACTTCAGGAACCATAGCATCAAGTCAGGGCCTTGTACCTGGTTTGTCCTTGACAAATGGATTTTGAATGAATGAGTGAGCAGAGATTCCTTGGCAGAAGATGTAAGAAAGAGGTTGCAATGTTGGGTGATCCCCTATGTAGGTACCCAGATACTGGTAGTCAACCAGTTGTGAGTTTAAACACACACTATAAGAAGATAAGGGCCTGAGAGAACCCTCTACAATGTCTATGTTTTTTTGTTTGTTGTTTTGAGACAGAGTCTCACTCTGTCACCCAGGCTGGAGTGCAGTGGAGTGTTCTCGGCTCACTGCAATCCTCCACCTCCCGGGTTCAAGTGATTCTCATGCCTCAGCCTCCCCAGTGGCTAGGATTACTTGTGTGCCCCACCACACCCGGTTAATTTTTTGTATTTTTAGTGGAGACACAGTTTCACCATGTTGGCCAGGCTGGTCTTGAACTCCTGACCTTAAGTGATCTGCCTGCCTTGGCTTCCAAAAGTGCTAGGATTACAGGAGTGAGTCACCACACCCAGCCTATGTGTTGTCTTAACTAGAGAAAAGAACAGGCAGAGTAGGCAGTACCTACCTCAACGAGACAGTCTCTTGGTTTTTCCTTTTAAAATCTACTCTGATTCTTGATTCTCCCCATTCTCTTTGCAGCCGCACCAACTGGTATATGCTGCTATAGCGTACAACTACAGTAACCAAAATGGGCAAAAGATATGATCTGCTAGTATACACAAAAGCAATTTGTAAGAAATGCATTTTAACCCATAGTATTAGCAAAGATCACAAAGTATTGGTGAAGATATGGGGAAATGGACACTCTCAAATATTTCTGATAGAAATGTAAATTGTTACAATCTTTGTAGAGAGTAATTGGCAGTATTTATCAAAACTACCAATGCACACACTTTTGGGGCCAGCAATTCCATGTCTATAAGTTCATTTAACAGATACAGATATATTTCTATGTTTGGAAATGAGAGGTATACCATGTTAGTGACTAATTTCTTCTAATAGCAAAAGATTGGAAGCCACCCTCAATGCCCAGCAGCAGGGAACAGGCTAAACAAATTCTGAGGCATCTGTTAGCTAGAACAGAGGTTGACAACTTTTTGACTAGACAGTAAATGTTTTAGGCTCAGCAGGCCATATGGTCTCTGTTGCAACTACTGAACCCCGCTTGTGTAGTGCAAATGCAGCCATAGACCATATGTAAATGAATGTGATGGTCATGTTCCAATAAAACTTTATTTGTAAACAGAGGCAATGGGTCAGATTTGACTTGTGGGCCAGAGAGTTTGCCGCCCCCTGTGGTATAATATCATACAGTCATAAAGCAGTATGTTCTGATTACTACTTGTGTAAAAAGACAGGAAAGAATAGATATCATATTTCTTTGTATAGGGGTAAAATGTTTCTGAAATGATATACAAGAAAAGGATAACATTGACTGACTCCCATAGAAAAAAAATGGTGGCTAGCACATGGGTTGGGTAGAACTTTTCATTGTATATCATTTTGTATGTTTTGAATTTTGAACTAAGTATATTATCTATTATACATGTTGAAATAAAATAAAAGTAAATTTAAAAAGACATAAAAGCAAACAGGGACCCTTTTGTGAAGCTCTCTGTGAGATACAGAGATATAAAGATGCTTGGGGATCCCCGTTCAGTGTTTGCCTCGAGCACACTGGGCTACAGCCATGGCTTATTTCACTGAAGAGCCCTCAGGAAGTCCAGCCAGTTCACCACACAGGAGCCTCTGGATCACAGATGCTGTCAGGCATCCTGCTTTTGCTGTTCCCCTGGAAAGGAACTTTCCCAGGTGGTTAACATGGCAATATCACAACAGGTCATCTTATAGTCTAGAGTCAGAGTGGCAGTGCCCGTTTTAATCCAGCTTCGTATATCTTAGAAAATATTGACTCTTGTTGGCAAAAGCAAGAATAGAAAAGGTCTAGACAGAGTAGCCTGTATAAAATGTCTGTTTACAGGGAAAATTATTGTTTGTAAGTGTAGATGACATGGAGACATGCTAGTCAAGGTTTCTAGTCTCCTTGTGGGTAAATCTAGACCTATGCTATACCATAGAGTAGTCACTAGTCATCTGTAGCTGCTTAAATAAAAATGAAATATAATTAAAAGTTAGTTCCTCAGCCTTATTTATTTATTTATTTTTGAGACAGAGTCTCACTCTGTTGTCTAGACTGGAGTGCAGTGGTGCAATCATAGCTCACTGTAACCTCGACCTCCTAGGCTCAGGTGATCCTCCCATGTCAGCTTCCCAAGTAGTTCCCATGGGACTACAGGCACATGTCACCACACCTGGCTAATTTTTGTATTTTTGCGAAGACAGGGTTTTGTCATGTTCTTTAGGCTGATCTTGAACTCCCAGGCTCAAGCGATCTGCCCACCTTGACCCCCCAAAGTGCTGGGAATATAGGCATGAGCCACTGCTCCTGTATAACCCCTTGTGGCCAGTAGCAACCATACCAGATTGCTGCGTGGATCATAGAATATGCCCATCATGGCGCTATTTCAGTTAGATGGCTCTGCGTTAGACGATCTTGAATGTTTCTTTTGGCCCTAAGACTATCAACAACCAGAAACCTCACAATTCATTTCAATCTATTCACTTCTCTTCATTCTTAATAGTTTGCACAATCTGTCATCCTGACTGTTGAAGGCATGATGGTTACAGCTCAGATAAAGTTCCTGACCGCAGATGCCTCAAACTGACCTGAGGCAAGTGCAGACCTACTGTCAGAGAAGATAGCATGGGAGCAATCCATTTGTTCCTGGCCCTGGGGACTGTTAAGACAGACTGAGTTCTCTCACATCCGGGCAACCACCAGCTTGTGCTGGTGATTGATTAAGCCTTTGGATATGGTATACATCATCCAGTGGCAGCAGGCAAGGGATGGAGAAAGGAGGCCTCTGGGAATGAGCGTGTGGAGTCAGTTTTGGGCAAATAGAAATTGAATGGAAGGAGCATCTCAGGAAGAAGGCTAAGAAGGCAAAGCAGAGCTTGCATTGCAGGAGGCAGACTTCAGACCAGGCTTAGGGTGAGGGAACAAAGACGTCTCAGTGCCCCGGCTGAGAAATTGGACGAGAAAGATGGGACCTGTGCTCCCCCAGGGGAGGTGGACTGAGGGCAGAGCTGTTTGCCTGGCAGAGGCGGTGAGATGGCAGGGGTTTGGGGAGGGGCACAGTTTTAGTTCTCTGCTCAACCCTCAGGGGCCCGGTGCGGTAGGCAGAATTCTAAGATGGCCTCCACGACCTCTGCTCTCTGCTGTTATACCCAATGATTAAATTATGTTAGATGACAAGGATGAAGGGATTTTGACACGTAATTATGGTTCCAAATCAGTTAAATTTGAGCTAATCAAAAGAGGAGTAGCTGAGTGGGCCAGACTTAATCAGATTAAAGGCTTAAAATGGTAATGCTTCTCTTTTGGCCCTGAAGGAGCGAACAGCCATGTTGTAAATGGCCTCTGAGGAGGACTGGCCTCTAGGAGTTGAGGACCTCAATCCGACATCTGCAAGGGATTGAATCGTGCCAAGAACCCGAATAAACTCTGAAGATGAGAACGCAGCCCTGGTGGGTACCTTAACAGCAGCTTTGTGAGACCTTGTGGTGATGCAGTGTAAACAAACCTATTGCGCTGCCAGTCATATAAAAGTCTAGCACATACAATTATGTGCAGTGCATCACACTTGGCAATAATAGTAAATGTTACTGGTTTATGTATTGACTGTATCTATACTTTTTATCATTAGTATACTCCTACTTATTAAAAAATTAAAGTAGTTAACTGTAAAACAGCCTCAGGCAGGTCCTTCAGGAGGAATTCCAAAAGAAGACATTGTTGTTACAGGAGATGACAGCTCCATGCATGTTACTGCCCCTGAAGACCTTTCAGTAGGACAAGATGTGGAGGTGGAAGATAGTGATATTGACGATCCTGACCCTGTGTAGGTCTAGGCTAATGTGTATGTATGTGTCTCAGTTTTGAACAAAAAAGAGTTTAAAAGGTTAAAAAAAACCCTCTTAAAAATAGAAAACAAGCTTATAGAATAAGGATAAAAGAAAGAACATTTTTGTATAGCTGTATGACATGCTTGTATTTTAAGCCAAGTGTTATTATAACAGAGTAAAAAAACTGGAGTTGGGGGCTCTGTGCCCCTTCTCACATACATTGCCTTCAGCATCTCTTCCATTTGACTGCTCCTTTATAATAAGCTGGCAAAAATATGTGAAGTGTTTCCCTGAGTTCTGGGCACTGTTCTAGCAAACTATCTACTTATCCCTCTGCAGAGGAGGTTGTGGGAACCCCTAATTTATAGCAGTTCATCAGTAGTATGGGAAGGCCAGACTTGTCATCTGAAGTGAGGGCCATCTTATGGGACTGAGCCCTTACCCTGTGGGATCTGATGCTAACTCCAGGCAGGTAGTGTCAGGATTGAATTGAATTATAGGACATCCAGTTGGTGTTTGGAGGGCTGCTTGGTGTGGAACAAACCTACATATTTGGTGTCAGAAGCATTTTGTGAGAGTATAGGGGACAAAAAGGATTTTTTTTTAAAAGAGATGGGGTCTCACCATGTTGCCCAGGCTGAAGTACAGTGGCTATTCATAGGCATGATCATAGTGTACTTCTCTTTTGAACTCTTGGCCTCAAGCAATCCTCCTGCCTCAGCCTCTAGAATAGCTGGGACTACAGGCACATGCCACAGTGCCCAACTCAAAAAAAAAAAGTTGTTTTATTTTACGTGACTAACTAGGAGGTCTGGAGTGTGGTGTGGCATGTTGTCTCAGGTTCCTGAAGCATCCCTGAATACCCTGCATTAGGTAACCACAGCAAATAGACAAAGAAGAGCCAGACTTTGAGACCTTCCAGAAATTCTCTGGACCAATCTGATTCTGTCATCACTGAATCATACAACTTCAGAAGCTCCAAAAACTGGACCATGAGGTTCCTGACATTCATAATACCATGGCTGGAAAGAATATGATTACTGCACTGACCTTAGCCAGAACCCCTTAATAAGTTTTTTTTATGTCTCTATTTTATTAAGCTTTTAATGATTGAAAAAATAAACAGAATTGGCAGATAAGTTCTAGCAGATGCTGATGGTTCCGCCTTTATCCCTTAGGTTTTCACAGTTTAGTGCTCTCCTCTTCCCCCTGCCAGATTTTGCATCTTTTTCCCTGAGAGTTTCTCTGAAGTCTTTGGAAGGCCACTCTGATAGCAGATGGCAGAAGACTGTTGTAGATGGTATTAACATCTCAGCTCCCTCGCCTTTCCCCTTTCCCGTATTCTATACCATTTCTCACAATTCTTCTTAGTTTACACGTCAGTGTCCCACAGTGGTAACTGGTTTGATTATGCGTTCTTTGTTGGTTCCCTTCTTTGCTTCTCCTCTACTGGTATTTTGTTGCTTTTTAACTGTCCAACTTCCAAGTAAACTACCTTAATTCCAATATTTGTTTCGGGATCTGCTTCTGAAGGAACCTAAACTAAGATATAAATTAATCATGTTAATTAATTTTCAGCCTCTCTGGTCTAATGAAATGCATGCCTGCATTTTCTTTACAAAAGCTTTTGAAAGCTGTGTGTGTTAAGCCATTTCACATTAATGCTTTGCCGCCAAGAAACCGACAAGAGATGCTCAGGATGGGCAAATGTCAGCCCCCGAGGGCACAACTGCAACTGACAAAACTATTTATTGGAGGAATTCTGGCTGTCAGTTCAGATCTCTGTTGATGATCAGAGGAATTCACTCATTCTGCAAATATTTTCTGAGCTCTGCCTCTCTGCAAGAGGCCCAGGCAGCATTGGCCAAGCTAAAACAAATACTGTCTGTTTTCTCTGAGATGTAGCTTTCAGATTACTCTATTAAAAAAAACACTAATGAATCTGTTCGGAATTAATGTTTGAGTTACTGTTGGGCTAGTGATGATTCTCCAAGGGGTGAGGAGGAGATAATAATGACCTTTTTTTTTTTTCTTTTTCAAACTATGAAGGATTTATTTCTGATAATTATAATGGTCTGTCCTTTCCCAAAGAAACAGTCACCACAGTGTGGTGCACATCCCAGGAGGACTGGCACAGAAGCAAAGTTTGCAAACTGCTAGGCCTCTGAGGTTTAGCTTTGGGAGCAGAGCCAGGGGAGAAACGATGCAGCCCAATGCAGAGAAAGGGTCCTTGGACCAAGAACAGGAGAGCTGAACTATGGAGCTCTCAACCAGCCGTGTGATCTCGGGAAGTCACCTGCACTCTCTGGGTCGCAGTTTCCTCACCCCTAAAATTAGGGACTGGGATCAGATGGTCTCTAGGACCATTAATTATCTGTTATCAGTCATGAGTCTGTTAAAAAAGGCAATGGACCAAAGTCAAATCTATGGCTTCACTTTACCTCTGTGTTGCTCCACTTCTCATCAGGTTGGGTGGGGTGAGGGGAAGTCGTTTTTTGAATAACTAGGCACTATTTGCCCTGAAAAGTGTTTGTAGTGACCTGGCTCAAGGATTGGTGGTTAGAAAGAAAGGAAGCTACTGAGACGGGGTAGGAGTTGGAGAAATGGGTGAGTGAAAGGATGTTTTCCAGGCTGGAGAACATTTGGGGGTTCCAGAATTGATGAAGACTCTGCTGGAAAGGTTCCTGTTGATACTTGGGGGATAGAGGGAGTATGGTGGGAGGAAGGACAGAAAAGCCTCTCCTATTTTTCTTTTCATAGCTTTTTATAATTCTTATGGTTCTCAAATCTGGCTGTATATTAGAATCATTCAGAGGGCTTTAAAAATCACAAAGTCCCTCTCCTCCTTCTGATTTAATTGGTCTGGGTTGGCAAGTTTTGAAAATGCTCTGAAATAATTCAGCTGCATAGCCAGGATCAAGAACTACTAAATGGTAACCAAGAGCTCAGAAATAGCCTTTGCCTTCACCCAGACATCTACCTTATTTTCTCTACTTTTTCACGTTTTCCTTCCTCTTCACTTTTCATCCTCTGTCTCAAGATTACAAAGTCAGAAACAGGTGGGAGACAGAGAAAAGAAGAACAAACCCTATGCATCCTATTTTCTGGTTAATTCCTGTATTATTTATGAGGTTTAATAAAAGTTGTTTTTCTTCCATGAATATAATGTATACTATTTAGCAAAAACTTGAGAAATACTCAAAAACAAAAAAGAAAAAACATCTCGAAGTGTCAGACTGATCCATCACTCAAAGGCAACTACTGCTAATCCCATTTTAGTCTTTTCTTTCTAAAATTTTTTTCTCAATGCCTAGTTTCTTTGTTTGAATGCTTTACCCTATTGTATATACCAGGAAGTGGCAAACTGCAGTCCACAGGCCAAATCCATCTCACCTCTTATTTTTGTAAATAAAGTTTTATTGGAACATAGTTATGTTCATTTGCTACCTATTGGGTACAGCTGCTTTCACACTGCAGTGGCAGAGTTGAGGAGTTGCAACAGAGACCATCTGACCCAGGAAGCCTGAAATATTTACTGTCTGGTCCTTTACAGAAAATGTTTTTTGGCTTCTGGCATATACTATTCTGTACTCTCATTTTCTCCTCATTGTACCTTATATTATGAGCATGTTCCTATCTTATAAATGCTTCATAAGCATTAATTCTAAGAACTGCCTGATATTTTACGGCACACAGGTAGGTTGTGGCTTACACTTTCTTCTATTAGTACATGTGTGTGTTTTTTCACTCTTATAATGCTTCAGTGAGTATATTTGGACATAGATGATTTGTTTTTTCAATTATTCCTTTTTTTTTTTTTTTTTTTTTTTTTGAGAGAGTCTCACTCTGTTGCCCAGGCTGGAGTGCAGTGGCCGGATCTCGCTCACTGCAAGCTCCGCCTTCCAGATTCACGCCATTCTCCTGCCTCAGCCTCCTGAGTAGCTGGGACTACAGGTGCTCACCACCATGCCCGGCTAATTTTTTATATTTTTAGTAGAGACAAGGTTTCACTGTGTTAGCCAGGATGGTCTCGATCTCCTGACCTCGTGATCCACCTGCCTTGGCCTCCCAAAGAGCTGGGATTACAGGTGTGAGCCACCACGCCCGGCCTCAATTATTCTTTTGGGATTGTATTCAGGTTATTCAGTTGGTAGCTAGGGGCATTTTAACACTCCTCCTGGTACATATTACTACATTTCTTATTCAAAGGCAGTGCTCTAGTTTGTGCTTTTCAGTAATACAGTAGAGAAACTGCTTCTCCACATGCTTGCCAGCATTATTACCATTTAAAACATTTTCTACTTTTAGATAGGTAAACAAAAAGCTATTATTTTAATTTTCATTTCTCATGTTTCTAATGCGGTTGAACTTGTTACCAAACCATTGTTATTTCTTCTTCTGCACATCGACCAGTTTTCAGCTCAGCATGGCCTCCTTCTGCACAGGGCAGAGTGGAGGATGCTGGTCTTGCCTCTCACCTTAGCTTGGAGCAGGGCTCCTGCCTCCACCCGGTTCTTTTCAACATCTCTCTCCCACTGAATTCTGATCATCTCAAGGATGTCGTCCAGACCAGTGCCAATGGGAACATCCATGTGTTCCAGCTCACACCCTGCCAACTGTTTGTGCAGCACCTTCACATCCTGAAAATGACAAGATACATCTTAGGTGAGTTACAGGGGGAGATAAATGGCATAGAACTCTAGCCAGCGAAAACCAGCGCTGTGGGCAATTCTCTCATCATTCCACAACTGCCAGACACAGGCTTCACAGAGAGTAGGAAAGTCCCTGACCTTCTTCCCAGCATAAGTGTAATTTCTCTTTTCCCAAGGATGCATTTCTCTCTACCTCTCCCAGCAACAAAGCAACCTCCCGCCTACTCAACCCTTTCTTTCTTTCTTTCTTTCTTCCCCTTTCCTTCTTCTTCCTTTCCTTCCTTCCTTCCTTCCTTCCTTCCTTCCTTCCTTCCTTTCTTTTTCTTTCCTTCCTTCCTTCCTCCCTCCCTCCCTTTTCTTTTCTTTCTTTCCTTCCTTCTCTTTCTTTCTTTCTTTCTTTCTTTCTTCTTTCTTTCTTTCTTTCTTTCTTTCTTTCTTTCTTTCTTTCTTTCCTTTCTTTCTTTCTCTTTTTCTTTCTCTCTCCCTCCCTCCCTCCCTCTTTTTCTCTTTCTTCTCTTTCTCTCTCTCTCTTTCTTCTCTCTCTCTCTCTCTCTTTCTTTTGACAGGGTCTCACTCTGTCACCCAGGTTGGAGTACAGTGACATGATCTCAGCTCATTGCAGCCTCCACCTCTTGGGCTCAAACAATCCTCCTACCTGAGCCTCCTGAGTAGCTGAGACTACAGGCACGGCACACACCACCACACTTGGCTAATTTTTGTTTTTTAGTGGATACAGGGTTTCACCATGTTGCCCAGGCTGGTCTTGAACTCCTGGGCTCAAGTGATCTGCCTGCCTTGGCCTCTCAAAGTGCTGGGATTACAGGCTTGAGCCACCATGCCTAGCACCAAGGATGCATTTCTTAGGTTGGTCTCCCCAAGCCCAGGCCCAAAGCAGAAATAAAAATAAATAAACAAACAAAAACAAAGTAAGCAACAACAGCAAAGCGAATTTAGGCGAATTTAGGCGTAAAGTCAGAAAGAGACTTAAGTAAGCAACAACAGCAAAGCAAATTTAGGCGTAAAGTCAGAAAGAGACTTAAAAGATAACTTTGGCATCTCTAAAGGGTTACTGTTGGAGAGTAGTCTTAAATCACTGAGCTAAGAACAAGAAGACATGGGCTTGCAGTTGCTGGTTAGCTTAAGTTGGACTCAAGAAAGAACTTCCTAACGTGAGCATTGTTAAGTGGGTTTTGACTCTTCCAACTTGATGCAGCCTAAATCTTGGATCAGACAATAATATGTGTGAGGTGGTTTGGAATCACTGAAGTCTTGCAGGGAACTAGACCCCATAACTGTTGGAGTTCCTCTTCAGTTCTGTCACTCAATGATCTGACCCAATTTTGTTAATGAGTAGATGTCAACCACAGCTTGCATCTACCCTCAGAGTTATTTTGTTTGTATAATACAGTGTTAAAAAAAACAGGCCGGGCGCGGTGGCTCAAGCCTGTAATCCCAGCACTTTGGGAGGCCAAGACGGGCGGATCACGAGGTCAGGAGATCAAGACCATCCTGGCTAACACGGTGAAACCCCGTCTCTACTAAAAAATACAAAAAACTAGCCGGGCGAGGTGGCGGGCGCCTGTAGTCCCAGCTACTCGGGAGGCTGGGAGGCGGAGCTTGCAGTGAGCTGAGATCCGGCCACAGCACTCCAGCCTGGGCAACAGAGCGAGACTCCCTCTCAAAAAAAAAACCAAAAACCAAAAACCAAAAAAAACAAAACCTGACATAGAATGTATTGAGGGGGGTTGCTCCCTCTAATTTAACCCAAGTTCCCTCATTTGCTAGTGCCAAGACCGGCTGCCTTCCCCTGTTTCTGCACCACACTGGTTCCTGAAGCTATTTGAGTTTGAGACTGCTGGGGTAATCTGACACACTAGAAGGATCTGAAAGTATTTTACAGGCATGTTCCCTGCAGTCCTGGGCACGCAATGCGGAGAGTCAGAGATGAGCTACTGTGGCCTTGTTCTGAAGCACAGGCAGACAGATGTGCACTTCTGGTCTTGTGGCCAACCCAGCAACCCCAGCCCCTTCCTACCTCTTCATAGTTTCTTGATAGAGAGCCAAGTTCTTCTTTCAGACTTTCTATTTGACTCTCCAGGTCCATTTTAGTCAAATTAGCTTCATCAATGACTTTATACAGAGAGTTAATTTCCTCTTCTGCCGCCTTTCGAAATGGCAGCTCATTTTCATATCTGCAGATAAAGGAACTTAATCAGCATAACTGGGTAGCCCAAAAGGAAAAGAATCGGATTATAAATGTTACCAACAGGCCAATCACGTGATGGTTAGACAATGAATGGTACAAGTCACTGTTTCTATAGATTTGAGGGCACTGTTAGTGCAATTGTCATACATTGATTTACTAAAATGAAGGCAATTGCAGCCAACTTCTGATAACCTGGCTTCACGGGCTACCAGCCTCATGGGAGTGTTGAAGCACAGAGCTCCAGGGAAAGCTCAGGAGTTCAGATCCAGGTTAGGGGATCCGGAATCTTCATCGCTATCCTGATGGTCCTCCTTTTCAACCAAGGATCCTTTAACAAACATTACTGACAACCTGCTAAGTACCAGGCTGGAGACCCAAAGCACCTATGTTAAAAGTGTCCATCTGCAGGACAGTGGCTGCCAATCCAGATGCCTTCAGGGACTGAGTGGAGGTGTAGCGGAGCATGGTTCTCAAGCCTGGATGCACATTAAGTCATCTGGTGAGCTCTAAAACTGCTGAAGCCTGGACTCCACCCCTGGGGACTCTGATTTGATTAGTCTATAGCTTGTGCACTGCACTGATGTTTTTACATGCCCGGGTAATTCTGATATGCAGCCAGGATTGAGAATCATTACTCTAAACTAGTAGTTCTCAAGGTATTTGAATCCCAGGACCAGCAGGATCAGCGTCCCTGGGAACTTGCTAGGAATATAAATTTGGGGCCCCTCTCCAGACCCATTAAATCAGAAACTCAACAGGGTGGGGCGCAACAATCTGTGTTTTCTGTATGGCCCCTGGGTGATTCTGAGCATTCCAGAGTTTGAGAACCCTGCTCTAAACCAACTGACAGTGGGCACAATCTTTGAGCCCTTGGGGCCTAGTTTGTGTCTACAAGGAGGGGTGTAAGCCAGATAATCATGGCGCTGTTATCCTGCCAGCCTCCCCTGAGGTAGAAGGTGGATGATGCAGGCTCCAGAAAAGCATTATCCACACTGCCCAGGAGTCTAGGGATGTGGAGGGACTGTCCCCTCTGCTGTAAGGCATTACCTCTCTTTAAAGTCATCTGCTCCCGCCTGGATAGTTTCTGTCTGCAGCATGAGCCGGGCATTTTCCAAGACTGCCTCGCCTACCTAGAGTGATCACAGACACCAAAGGAGACAAGGTCACTGACAGCATCAAGATCACTCACCACCATGACTTGTTTTAGGCACAGAGGCTCTGGGGGACCTCAGAGAACCTTTCTTACAGCAAGTATTTGTGGAATTAAGGTGTCCCTCTCTCTGGGACAATGGTCAAGGTGGTGGGATATAAATAATAAGGTATAAAATCTGAATATGTTCTAAGAGTTTTCAGAGTGGGGTTTTTGGCACAAAAAGACTATTCGAAGGCAGACTTGTTCACAGCCTCTGTCACAGAGATGAGCTTTCATATCTCCAGGGCAGAGTCTGGCTCCTTAGATGAAGTTTCACTGGCTTTGCCTAGCAGCTCTTAAAATTTCTGGTCATGGATGCCTTTGGAAGGCTGGTGAAAGCTCCAGATGAGTGCTGAGAGAGCTTCCTGTGATGGTGGAAATGCTCTGTGTCTGCACTGTCCAGCACGGTGGCCGCCCGTGGCTACTGTATTGGGCAGCGTGGCTGTAGAGTTTTGTCTCCCCCAAAATGTACACATCAACATAAACATTGTGCATATAGTTTAGGGGTTCATGGAGCCTTGAGGAGTGGTTTTTCAAACTTGAATCCCTAAGCCTCTCAGGATTTCCCACAGGTAGGGATTGGGGGATGTCCTGCCTTCAACCTGAGAAACTCCGTTATGTATATGTACATGGTGAGCTGAAGGCTCTGATAGGGGAAGCCCGTGGGGTGGAGCTAAGTCCCAGCTATGGGAAGAAAGCAACTGTGCTCTCCCTTTGCTCCAGTGTGACTGTCTTATTTTCTTTCATTTCATTGAATTTCTTTTTTCTTTCTTTCTTTCTTTTTTTTTTTGAGACAGTGTCTTCTTGCTTTGTTGCCCAGGCTGGAGTACAGTGGTGCAATATCTGCTCACTGCAAGCTCCACCTCCCAGGTTCAAGCAATTCTCGTGCCTCAGCCTCCTGAGTAGCTGGGATTACAGGCATGTGCCACTGCGCCCGGCTAATTTTTGTATTTTTAATAGAGACAGGGTTTCACCATGTTGGCCAGGCTGGTCTCGAACTCCTGACCTCAAATGATCCACCCACCTCGGCCTCCCAGAGTGCTGGGGTTACAGGTGTGAGCCACCACACCCTGCCATTTTCATTGAATTTCCCACTAGCAAAGCTAATCTTTTCTGTTCCAGCCTGGCCCTGGGGGACACTGGGGAGCAGGCAGACTAGGGTCTCTCCCTTTCCTAGTTCTTAATCACTCCTGTCTCTCACCTCTGGTGCCTGGAGTTCTCCTTCTGGTTGATAAAGAATTTGCAACTCATTCACATTTAAGTATCAAAGGACTAATAATGACTTAAAATAGTGATTTATATCCTTCTTTTAAGGTAATAATTCCCACCCTCAAAAATTACAGCTTATAGAAAACCCATATATATGTACAATTGTCCTTCGGTATCTGTGGGGGCTTGGTTCCAGTGCCCCATGGATGCTCAAGTCCCTTGTATGAAATGATGTAGTATTTGCATATAACCTACACACATATCCTTCCATATACTTCAAATCATCTCACGATTACTTGTGATACCCAATACAATGGAAATGCTATGTACATAGTTGTTATTTACTGTGTTATTTAGAAAATAATGACCAGAAAAAAGCCCACATGTTCAGTATAAATGCAGTCATCTATTTTTTAAAAACATTTTGATCCACAGTTGGTTGAATTCATGCATGTGGAACCCATGGATGTGAAGGACCAACTGTACTTTGCACCAGTGGTTCTCAGTGTGGGCCCTGGACCAGCGGCAGCAGCATCACCTGGGAACTTGTGAGAAATGCGCATTTCAGCCCCTGTTTCAGATGGACCTATCAGAATCTCTGGAGGTGGGTCCTAACAATTTGCGTCTCAGCAAACTTTCCAGGGGCTTACGATGCATACTCAACCTTGAGAACGCTGGTTTCACGTGGCCCTGCCCCCAGGCCTGCTCAGGCTGCCTCCCTGCTGCACGTGGAATCCCTCTGTGCCTTTGCACCTGCTGCCTCCACGGAGAACAACTTGTTTCACTGCCTCCCCCCTCCCAGCCCTCACTGTCTGAGAAAGCCTGCTCCGGTATAATGCTCATTTCAAACACGGCTTCCCCACGGAGCTTTTCTATTTATTTACTCATTGATTCTTGCCTTAATTTCTTCAGCACATAATTACTGTTTATGCCAGGCTCTGTCCTGTTTGTTGAGAAACCAGTAGCTATTGTAGGAGATGAGGTTAAAAAGGTAGACAAGACCAGATCATAGAGGGAAGGCCTTGGACAACATGGAAAGGAGTTGAGATTTACTGGGAAGCCTTTGACAGGGTTTAAGCAGGGTACAGAGGTGATCTGTGTACTAAGCGGAACCTCTGACTACTGTGGGAAGGGAGGATTGGAGGAGGATTGGAGGAGGCAGGAGAAGATGCCAAAGGACCAGTCGGGAGGCTCTTGCAATGGTCCGGGGAGCCCATCTTATTAATGATGGTGGGCTTGATGAATGATGTAATCATAGGATAGGTGGAGAAAGGTGGACTGGTTTAAGATGCATTTGGGGGATAGAACAGTCGGTTCTTGGTGGTGCAGTAGTAGTGGGGAGAGTGAGGGAAAACAATCAGGGGTGACCCCTCCGTTGCATCCTGAGCCGTCGAGAGCATGGTGGGGCCTTTGCTGATTGTCTTCCTCCCTGCTTGGCTGGTTCCTGCATCAGAGTCACGGCCCACCCCTGTGGCACATTATCCCTCTCTTACCACATTTCGTATAAACACTTTGTAGACAATGATAGTGTTTTCTTATTCTGGAACCTGGCTCCTCCATTCACTAGCATGGGCCAATTGCTTAGAGTAAGTAACTCTAAGATTTGGTTTCCGCCCCCATAAAATGAAGATAATAATACTCCCCTCCACCTGGGAGAATGAAATGAGCCAAGGTGTGTGAGACTCAATGTATATGTGACTCAGCAGACTGCCTGGCACAGAGTAAGTATTGCATGAATTGTAGCCATTATCATCATTGTTACTTGTCTTTGTACAAAGCAGTTGTTCAATGAATGTCGAATGAATTTGATGGGTTTGTGCAGTCTGGCACTGATCCCTCTTTACTTTTCTGAATATGCACAGGCAGTTGAATGAAGACTTCCATCTAGTGGCTTGATACATATATATATATATATTTTTTTTTCTTTTGTTTTTTCTGTCCATAGTCATTTGAAAAGTCCTAGTCATTTGTACTATGATGGTGAGGACTTTATCCCTTTCTATAATACTACTCCTGTTTTCATTGTGAATGTAGTTATTAAAATATATGAGCTGGTGGTGGTGGATGAGAGATTCGACCATCATCGTGTTAAAGAAAAGGCAAAGACAAGCAGCGTTTGAAAAAAGGTTGTCATTTGGGTCCAAGGGTACAATTAATTGTTTGTTTGGAGTTAAAGATATTGGCATCCTGGCAGCCAGAGCTGCAGGCATGGGGAGGAGGTGGGTAAGACTGGGCTCCTGGGAAATTAAACTCAGCTGGTGCAGTGGCAAGATGCAAGATTCCCTTGGAAACTCTTCCCACATTTATTTGACTTTCAAGTTTAGGATGGATGTTCAGCATAACTTGCTTCTAGCAATAAAGGAATGAGAAATAATTCTCAGTCCCTAGCACCCCAGTGATACTGCTTCTAATAACAAGGCACAGGCCGCTGCATTACCAAGCCCGGCAGATGCTTCTCTGCACTCATCTCCACCTGCCGCTTGCATTTGTCACAGATGTACTTTCCTGACTCAGCTTCCATGACACCACTCTCTCTGGGCTTCCTCCTACTTCATTGACCATTCTTTCTCATTATTCTCTGCTTCACCAGGTTTTTCGTCCTTATCTGACCTCTAAATGTTAAAGTTTTTCAGGATTGGGTCTTGGTGCTTCTTTTTTTTTAATCACTAAGTGGTCTGATCTGTCCACATAGATTTAAATGGCATTGTATGTGCTAATGATTTCACATTTAAATGTCTATCTCAGAACCTTCTGCTCAGCTCCAGACTTGCATACTCACCCTGTCTTTGAGGTCTTCACTTGGCTATTTCTCAGACATCTCAAACTTAACATGTCTCCAAATGAAAATCTAGATAATTTCGGCCGGGCGCGGTGGCTCATACCTGGAATCCCAGAATTTTGGGAGGCTGAGGTGGGTGGATCACCTGAGGTCAGTTGTTCAAGACCAGCCTGGCCAACATGGTGAAACCCCTGTCTCTACTAAAAATACAAAAAATTAGCCAGGCGTGGTGGCATGCACCTGTAATTCCAGCTACTTGGCAGGCTGAGGCAGGATAATCGCTTGAACCCAGGAGGCGGAGGTAGCAGTGAGCTGAGATCATGCCACTGCACTCCAGCCTGGGCCACAAGAGCGAAAATCCACCAAAAATAAATAAATAAATAAATAAATAAAAATAAAAATAAAAAGAAAAAAAGAAAGAAAATCTAGATAATTTCCCCTCTGATCTTCCCTTTCCCCACTGCCCCTTGATCCTCTTCATCTCAGTAAACAACCCCAATGCCTACCCGGAAACCAAGGGGTCATCGTGATCTCTCACTTTCTGTTGTCTCCACATGTCATTTATCCTGAGTCTAGTCAATTCTACCTCCACAATGTATCTCAAATCCGTTTACTTCTCTCTACCTCTCTTGACATCACCCCAGTGCAAGTCACCATCATGCTGTCCTATCCCATTGTAATATCCTTCCAAATCCCTGATCTCTCCTCCAATGCATTCTACATCCTGCTTCCAGTGTGGGCTTTTTAAACTCTTAAAATCATATCATGTCACTCGGATTAAACTAAATTAAAACTCTTCAGAGGGGCTAGGTGTGGCGGTTCATGCCTGTAATCCCAGCACTTTGGGAGGACAAGGTGGGTGGATTGCTTGAGCCTAGGAGCTTGAGACCAGCCTGGGCAACATAGCAAAATCCTAGCTCTCAAAAACAACAACAACAACAACAACAACAAAACAGAATTTATCCAGGTGTCGTGATGTGCACCCACAGTCCCAGCTACTTGGGAGACTGATGTGGGAGGCTCTCTTGAGGCCAGCAGGTCGAGGCTGCAGCCTGAGAGACAGAGTGAAAGCGAAAGCCTGTCTCAGAACAAAAACAACACACAAAACAAAACAAAACCCTTTAGAATTGTCTCTTAGAGTAAAACCCAATCTTCTGAAGTGGCCTTCAAGGCCCTGCATGCTTGTCACTCTTCCATCGCTCCCAAGGCTCCTGCCATGTGGGTCTTGGTCTTTCTGGACCATACCAGTTCCTTTTCTGCTGGAGGCCGTAGCACTCGCTGACTCCTCTGCCTGGCCCACTCCTCCCTTCCTCTTTGCATGAATAGCTCCCTCGTTCTGGTCACCTTACTGCAAGCAGTGCTTCCCTTTACTCTGCCCCTTTCTGCTTGTTAGTTTTCTTTAAAACACTTACCACAGCTTGTATTATCAACGTTATGGTTTTTAAATTATTTTCTCTGTATTTTCCGCTAAAATATAACCTCCTCGAGGTCAGGCACTGCCTTTTTGTCCTGTTTGCTGTTCCATCCCTAGCACAGTGTCTGGCACAGCGGGTATTAGTTGAATTAATGAACCCAGCAGTAGTGCTGCCTCTTTATGGAGAACCCAAACAGGGAAGACCCAGTGCCTACTCTCAGGGAACAGCCAGGTTCTTACCCAGTTCCAACCTAAGAATCACCTTAAACATCTCTCCCTTCTGCATTTCCCAAGTCAAAAACCATCAATTCCCCATGTAGATGTCCCCAAATCCATTCCCACTCCATTATCCAGCTTGTTTCAAGTCCTAATCATCTCTTTTCTGGTTTAACCTGATAGTTGTTACCCAGGGACAAAACCTAAGAAGCCCACGCACAGTGAGTTAAGATTGCATCTGAGGCCAGGTGCAGTGGCTCACGCCCATGGCTCACGGGGATTACAAAGTGTAATCCCAGCACTGTGGGAGGCCCTGACAGATGGATCACCTGAGGTCAGGAGTTCGAGACCAGCCTGGCCAACATGGTAAAACCCTGTCTCTACTAAAAAATACAAAAATTAGCCCGGCATGGTGGTGCATGTCTGTAATCTCAGCTACTCAGGAGGCTGAGGCAGGAGAATTGCTTGAACCCACCGCCTCCTTTCCCCACCGCGGGGGAGGAGGAGGTTGCAGTGAGCCGAGATGGCGCCATTGCACTCTAGTTTGTGCAACAAGAGCAAAACTCCATCAAAAAAAAAAAAGATTGCAACTGAAAGTGAACTTAGGGGGAAATGTCAACAAGTAATGGAGAAGTCCAGCCATCTCTTGAGACAGTTCACCCCCAAGCACAGTCACAGCCATTGGGTGTCCAAGGAGAATGAGCGACATCTGAGGGCTAAGGTTGAATTTCACTCTGGAAGCCACAATACACTTCTGAGCCTGTATTGCAAATGAACGCTGACTTCATCAGACTCTGCTCTGGCTGGAATGTCTAAAGGAATGTCATTGTAGAGGGGCCAGATGAGCATGCAGTGAGAAGCTAGAACTGGTGGCCAGGGTTTATTTGCCATTATTGGGCAAACAGGATCACCTTGGCCACTAGAAGTTGCCCTCTGTCATGCTGAGCACAAAGTTCTTTAGGCTACTCTTTCCCTAGAAGCCTCTCTGTCCCTCCAAGTTCTGGTTCTGGACCCACCTAGACTTCCACCTCCAGCAACCTCAGAAATCCGAGGGCTTGCTTTGGATAGTAGTCACACATGCTGGTCACTAAAGAGGTTTAACTCCTACCATATATAGGGTTTAGCCTCTACCACTTATAACACAGTCCTGGGTGTTTATGTCAGATGAGTTTGTTGTGAGACAGCCCTTTAGGGC